AGCGATGAGGATTGCGTCTGTACCGTGCTGCATTATCCTGGTCACAGTTCTGAGGAGCAGCGGTATTGGAGGGTACAGGTACGTCAGTTCCCCTGACCATGGTATAAGGAAGCTGTCTCCCAGGGAGGCGGTGTCCATACCCGCCCTGGAACAGTATCGGGCACACTTGGAGTTGAGATGGGACGCAAAAAGGTCCAGGGTGGGCTGTCCCCATCATTTGCAAATGTCGAGGAAGACCGTCTGGTCTAACGTCCATTCGTGCATCCTGGTAGGTAGTCTGCTCAGATGGTCCGCCAGAGAATTGTCCCTGGAAGCGATGTGGATCGCCTGCGGGAAGATGTCGTGGGAACAACACCATTTCCAAAACTTGATGGTTAGCTGGAGGAGATGCGCTGATCGCATTCTGCCTTGTCTGTTGATGTAGTGCATCACAGTGGTATTGTCCATTACTAGTTGTACTGCCTGACCCTGGATGCAAGGCAGGAAAGATTGAAAAGCCTTCATGACTGCTAGCAATTCTAGCTGATTGATGTGCCAGGTCTTTTGGGTTGGGGTCCAAAGACCGTGAACACGAAGGTCCTGGCAGTGTGCACCCTAGCCTGAAGGGCTGGCATCGGTGACCACCTTTATGGACAGGTAAGGGGAGTGAAACGGTCTTCCCCGTGACAGGTTACTGGATCTGGACCACCAGCCGAGATGTTGCGCGACATGAGAGGGAATTCTCAACCTCTTGGACTGCGGGTCTGCCATGGGATCGAACTGAATGATGAACCAAGATTGAAGGGGTCTGAGTTCAAGTCTAATGTACGGTACCACCGCAGTAGTGGATGCCATTAGTTCGAGAACGTGTTGAATGTAGTGCGCTGTGAGTATAGTGCACAATTTGAGCTTGCTCACAGCTGCTTTGATCTTTCAAATTCGCTATGATGGTAGAAAAGCCCTTGTGCGAACGGAGTCCAGGGTTGCTCCTATGTAGGAGACTACTTGAGAAGGTATGAGATTGGACTTTTTTGCATTGATTTTTAGGCCTAATTTTTCCAGGGTGGATAGGCTGAATCTTGTGGCCGAGAGTGCTTCATGATAGAATCGGGCCACTAAAAGACAGTCGTTGACGTAAGGAAAGATTTTTATCTGTTGGGTCCGTAGGTACGCGATGACTGGTGCCATGCATTTTGTGAATGTCCTGGGGGCCGTTGAGAGCCCAAACGGTAGGGCAGTGAATTGGAAGGTATCGTTGTAGAACCGGAACCAGAGGAATTTTTGATGAGATGGTGGATGGAGATATGGAAATACGCATCTTGCAAATCGATGGTGATGAACCAGTTTCCCTGAGACAAGAGGGGAAGAATGGAGTCAAGGGTGAGTATATGGAATTTCTTATGAAGTATGTACCGGTTGAGGTCTCTTAAGTCCATGATGGGCCTTATGCTCCCGCCTTATGCATTCTTAGGGACTGCAAAATAATGGGAGAAATATCCATTGGTACTGTCAGATGGAATTTGGATTATGGCCTCTTTGGATAACAGAGATGAGATTTCCAAATGCAGTGGCATGGAAAAGTGAGTAGGTCTAATTGAATTTGGCAGACGAATGCAAAAAATTCTATCCTGTATCCATGTTGAATGATACTAAGGACCCACTTATCGGTAGTGATGTTTTTCCATTCTTGTAGGAATGGGGACAATCTTGTATATGAGGGAGATTCAAGAGAATTGCTTACCCCTACGCTGGGTCTTGCGGAAGGACTGCTTAGGGCTACGAAGGCATTGTTGCTTGAACAGCGGCGTAGGAAGCTGCTGAGTTTGGTAAGTGCGGTCCTGTTGCTGCTTACTGTACTGAGAGGGCTGGTACTGAGTAATGATTGATACTGTGGCTTTTTGTAGGATAGCTTGTGGTACATATATGGCTGATATGGTACGTAGGATTTCGCTGTCTTTCTCATCTTATGGATATTGTCCATAGCTTTATCAGTTTTAGAGTTGAACTGCCTCACCGCATCGAAGGGAAGTTCCTCGATTTTGGTCTTGGTGTCTTCAAGGATGTTGGCTGTTCTAAGCCAGGCGTGGCGTCTAACAGCAATGGCAGTCAGCATGGATTTGGAAGCGATGTCAGCTGTGTGTTTTGCAGCAAATCGCTGTTGCCTGGTAAGGGTGTTAGCCTCTTCATAAACGTTGAGGGCTTCATAAACCTTGAGGGATCAGGTAATGATTGCAGCATTGGAACTATCTTGTCCCACAAGTGCTTCTGATATGCGCCCATGGCGGCCTGATAGTTAGCAATTTTAACCAACATTGCGGCAAACAAATACAGCTTCTTTCCAAAAGTGTCTGATTTCTTTCCGTCTTTGTCAACAAACTGATGATCTGGTACGGGATTTATATTGAGTAGTCTCAACCACAATGGAATTAGGTGAAGGATGCTTGGCCAGAAAGTCAGAGTCCAAACCATGAGTCTTATAGTGGTGCTCAAGCTTGCATGGCACCTGTACCAGTGTAGGAGGTTTGTCCCAAGAAGATTTTACCAGCTCAAACAGAGCAGGAATGAGACTGAGGCTAGGAGAAGTTTTATCCTGCTCCATATCGTGAAAATCAAGGTCTCATTCTTGTTGAGGGATTTGTGCATCGAGCTGCAGAGGTGCTGCTATCCGCATAATAAGCTGTGCATAGGACGAGAAGTCCTCTGACGAGGGCTGAGATGACGAGCCCTGGGCGTCAGTATCAGCGGCGTCAGAGTCTGTGGACACTGTAGATGGATTAGATGACTGTGAGGCAATAAAAGGAGAACGCCTTGGTACTGTGTCTTCTGGTGCCATCTCCACATCTGATTGGGTAGACTGGGAGAAGGGTATGGTATCGTGGACATCAGGACTGGAGTAAAGCATCGTGGCTCGAACCGAAGAGTGTCCACCACTGTACTTAGCACGCTTTGGAAGTTCTGTAGGTACTGTAGGAAATTGCCTCTTGCGAGATGGCGCTTGAGGCGTAGAAAAGTCCTGTTGAGTATGTGGCTGACATGGGATAGAAGGAACCATGGTATGGTGCCACGGTACTTGCGCCTGAAGCTCCGACTGATAGGCGTAGCCCTGGTATGGATACGGTTGGAACGGAGCATTAAAAGGGGGGCCAAACTGCGGTGGTCCTTGCGGACGGTACCCATCACCACAATCCCGAGGCTGGTACGGAGCGATGTTTTTGCGCTTTGCGGTACACTTCCTAGGGTTTTCATGACCAGACTCCTGTTCAGATGGAGACTCGGTATCAGCCCGCCCTGAGTATTGAGGGCTTGTATGGCCAATGGCCCGGCTGGCATCTGGCTCAGCCTCAAATCGGCCCGAGTTTGGCAACATGCACATATTGTCCTGAGCCGTCTGGGCTAAAGGAATGTGCTCCTCTGCATCAGAGAGTCCAATTGCTTCCCTCGAAGACTCCTCGAGCAATATCGAAGGAGCGGGAGGAGGCACAACAGGCAACTTGGCCGGTTTCTTCACTGTCTTAGGCTTATCGATGGCCTTCTTTTTTGCAGGGTGAGAAGGCAGTTTGGCTTTTGATGGTTTGGAAGCGTCCTTACCCTTAACTGGCACAGAAATGGTAAGCAGCGGTTGGTCTGCTGGAGAGTTTTGTCTAGAGGCCTCAGCACGCGGCGGGGACAGTGCTGTGAGGAAGGCGCTTTCCATATTTGGAGACAGTCGTTTCATAAAGGAAAGATCGAAATCTTTGGTGCCTTAACTTAATTGCTTGCTTTGAAAATCCTTTGCAAGCAGTGCAAGACTGATCTTGAGGTGATTCTCCAAGACAAAACAAGCATTTATCATGTCTGTGATAAAGGAATTTTCTGGGAGCAGACGACACACTGCTTGAAGCCCCGAGGGGCCATAAACAAAAGGAAAAAAAGGGGATCCCTAGATTGGGGGGGAAAACACGACAGAACAGAGATAAACAACTCAAATATACGTAGCAGGTTCTGTCAAATAACTGTTAAAGTAAAAGAAAGTAAATAAATAAGCAAGAAAAAGGGTAGCTAGCTAGCTAAGTACTTAACGGTCAATAGCTCTGCTCTTCCTACGTCCTACAAGAACGGCAGAAAAAGAGGAACTGAAAGGAAGATGGGGGGGCTTATATACCCCACGGGGGGGAGCTAATTGACTCTTTGATCTTAAGCTCTAGAATCTTCCGGACATTAATGCGCAGGCGCAGGATAACCCATTTGTGTGCATTCACAGAGACCACTACAAAGAACAAATAGATTTTTTAAAAATTGAACTAAAATTCCTCAGTAAGCAGACATATCTTTTATAGATCCAGGTACTCATTTAAGGTATGAAACTTTTTCTACATGCATGCCAATACAAGGGTTTCTTGCTCCATAATCACTCAGATTCTTATGATACTGGCTGGAATTGTTTTATTTTTGTGGCAATTACAGTCATAGGATTAAACGATTTCTGCGAAAGTAACACTGAGTAATTATAAGTTTGCCTTCCAAGGGCTGGTTCTCAGAATCTCAAATAGGCAAACACTGCAATATAATATAGCAGGAGACCCCCAATGTGCACTCCAATGCACACATGACACACTTGCACCAATGGATGTACTCCATAAAATTTTGAATGCTACAAAACCATTATTTCCTCTTCAGAAAGTCGCCTTCTATATTAGAAGAATGATGGCGGGAGCCAGGATACTATGTTATCCTTCCTCTGGTGTTTAGGCTATCCATTTCAGTGACATTCAAATTAGACTTATATGACACACACACAACACAGTATACTGCCTGCCGTCTGTGTTCATGAACTAATATAAGGAAGCTGTATAAATGTGAGGAGATGGGAGGTGACAGCTCAGCTGAAAATGTAGGCTTGCAAAAAGCATGATAATAAAGGTACCTGCATACAGTTGCTATAAAAATATCTCTCATCTGCAACTATTTTAATGTACAATGATGTTAGTCATATTTTTTCAGCATAAAAAGTTTGGCACCTCTCCCAAGTGATTTATACCTACTCTGCATAGTTGAAAAGTCGACTATCCCATAGTGTATGTGTCCCTCTAGGACCAGAGTGGAAGAAGCCAGCATCTGTTCCATCAAATTTGTTCAGTCCATCTTCAGAATTCTTCGAGGCATGACTATGTACGACATCCAAGAGGACTGTGATTCCCATTGAGTGGGCAACATCTATCAGTTCCTTCAAGTCATCTGGAGGTCCATAACGGCTAAAATGTATGAACATTTAAAATTACTGATTGTCAAAATTCACATTGTGATCCCCTTCCCCCATGCTTTACCATATTTGTAAAGGGGTAAGAAGTACAATTTGTATGTGTAAGATTTCTACCATTTTAGGGTAGAATATAAAGACTATGATAACATTTAAAAAGTGACTGCCAATCAGCAGGGTCAATTATAGTGTGATTCACAGAGTACAACTTTTGAATAAGTAGCCATGTTAGTCTGTCGAAGAGAGAGAGAGAGAGAGAGAGAGGAGAGAGAGAGATGTGGTATTTAAAGGCTTAACTACTAGATTTTATTGTGAGATTTCATAGTTCAAGGCATGCCCGAGCAAGTGGACTTGATCCATGAAAAGCTCACATTAAAATATAGCAGTTGTTAAGATACCACAACATTTCTGTCTCTTGAATTGAATTGTTCCATTGTTTTTTCTTCTTTTGCCTGACAGAGTATAACCTGAAGTATGAGCTACCTTCTACTTTCTTTTTTCCTTGTGATGGCACATGTGTGAATACTGAGAGAAAGAGGGTGAAAGAAGACACTGGATAAGAAGCTTTAAACAAGTAACTAAGTCTTGCCTCAGGTGTATGAAAATGAAAGTCAGTCTATCTCACATAGATACTGTGAGCATACATGAGATATAGGCTGTAAAGCACTTGGCATAATAAAAATACCTTAGAAATGAAGGACTGAAATTTTAATTTGCATCACTTAGCAGTCATTTCAGGAGGAAATTATATCTCAGTTCACATTCTAACTAGTTTTCAGAATGTTCTGCAATTCAGAAGCATAAGAGTCTTGATTGCAATGTTAAATAAATCTAGAAGTGGAACTGTAGCACAAAATGGTATTAAGAGAAATTGTACCTATAGCAGTATGTAGCTCCACATAACCACAAATATAATGTGATGTAATCTCTACAATGTAGCAAGATAATCTGGATTGCAAATGAGAAGCACTCCATTGGTTACAGAAGAAATATCTCATCTAAGTTACATGGCAGATTCCAGTCTAATACTGGAAAAAAGAAGCACAGCAACTAAATGTTTCTACCTAATGTAAAAGGCACTGTATTTTTAAAGCTTCTAACATGGTCAGGCAATCTGGCTAGGCCTGACAACTGCAGATCAACAAAATGTAGAGGGTCACATGTTTCCCATATATCCTGAATATATTTTTCATTCTCCTGCTCCATCTCCCACCTGTCCCCTCTCATCTGATGCAACAAAGCCATCATATCTCTATTATTTGGTTATTCAGAAGCTGTGTGATCTAAAGCCACCCACCCACATACAAACTGGCTGCTGATTTTCATGTACACTGTCCCAAAATCAAAACAAATGAAGTTGCAAATATATATGCAACTAGGCTATAAATGAGAAAGTCATTTATTCATTTATTTAACAGAACTCACAGTGTGATGCCTAGCTGTGTGCATCCATAACATGCATGTTGGTAAACAGCAGCTTTATAGGAAGTAATTGGGATGACTCAACACAGAAGTCATTTTCCCCTGCATTCATCCATAGCTGTACTGTAAAATTTAAAGGGTTTGGAACTGGGTGGATATTTTTCCCTAAAAAAAATGATTAAATACCACTTTTACCCAATGCACAACATCAGATCTCTAATGTTTGCGTTAAAAGAAACAAGTACAATAGATTCTAAATATTTTTAACAGATGTGGGATGCTGTCCACTCAGTATTGCACCAACACAAGGGGTTTAACAAGTCAGTTTAAATCAGGCTTGTCCAACCCGCGGCCTGAGGGCTGCATGCGGCCCAGGTCAGCTCATAATGTGGCCCAGTGCAATTTTTTTTATTTTTAAAGACATTCCAAAGTTTCAAGTTACACTGCCGGTGCTTGCGGCCGGGGCACGTCACATCACTAGAGGGGGAGAGAGGGAAGGAAGGAGTGGGAGAGGTCAGTGGGGCTGCGTGACTGCATTGCGCTGTCCCCGTCAATAGGTGGAGCCCCTCCCAGCCCCATAAAGCTGCCGGAGTCGAAGCTGGCAGCCTCTGCCCTCTGAGATCGCAGCTGCCGGTAAGCGCGCTTGGAGCGGGGCTGCGGAGGACGGCTAGGGCTGACCCCCTCAAGCAGCCCAAACCAAATGTATGTGCGGCCCAAACCAAATTTTCATCTTCTAATGCGGCCCAGGGAAGGTGAAAGGTTGGACACCCCTGGTTTAAATGATCAGTGCAACACCCCTGGTTTAAATGATCAGTGCAATGAAAGAGAAAAGAAGATATTACAAAATGAAAGCACTCTAACATACCTTGATGCAGCAAAAAAGCTTGTAATCTGATAACCAAAACTGGCATAATAAGCATGTTCCATCACTGCCATTAACTGAATACAGTTATATCCTGTTTTGAAACAAAGAAGAAAACACCACTTGATGGTTGTGGCAGGCTTGCTTAAACCAATAAAAATTACCTTTATCTATGAGACACGCTACATTAGTAAGATCATTTATACAATAAATGATTAGCAAACCTACCAAAATAAAACCCAAGGGAAAAATGACCTCCCCATCTATCCTTTGAAGGCCGGTTTCTCAAGTGATCCCCTAAGTGCACTCAAACATTAGCCTTTTAGGAAGAAATATGTGATATGCAAATACAGTCATAATTCAACTCCAGAATATTAACTATCCCAATCTACATGTCCTGAACTTCAACTGCACTTTTGATATTTACAGTGTTGATCATAAAAGGGAAAAGAGTAACTGACTATACACATATTAAACCTTGAGCTTTCCTTAATGTTTCAAACATACTCAATTTCCATCTAATCGTTAACATATTTTTCTCCAAATTCATTTCCCTCAAGGAATCTCTCTAAAAGAACGAACATTAAAGCAATGGAATTTTACTTTGAAGCTTACTGAAGGAGCTGGCGACCAAAGAAAAATAAAAACCTTTCTTTTTGTCCCTTATCCAACCCAAAATGTTTTTCTGTGATATTAAATGAAGGCAATCTGAAGGGAAAAGTACAGTTTAATGATGAAACCTCCAGCACTTAAAACAAATCTTTTACTAAGCTAACTTTTATGTCAGCAAACAAATGCAAGGATTATAGGAAAGGATAACCTTCAGATCTGTTTTGAAAGTCTGGGCAGGAGAGTTTCCACCTGATTCTTAGCTTTAACTAAAAATTTTGGCATAATATTTAACCTGCCAGTTAAAACATTAAAACATTTAACTTCACCAGTGTTGATGTAAGTCAGCTGTGATTTCAATATTTTCCTTCTGACACAACAAATCAAATAAGAATTAAGAGGTGCATGATATCAACTTAGGTTGCAATCACAGAGTTGCTCTTGATACATTGGTACATTGAACTGTGACATTCTTCTGATTCTAGCTATTTTTTTAATTCAGCAAAATTGCTTTATAATTTTTCACAATTAAGCCCATAGTGACTAAACAATTTTCAATACTATTTTTGCTGTCGTTACTATGCTTCTTCTTTCCTTCAACACCCAACTGTCTATTTTGTCCTACTGGGCATCAGATATAAACCATATTTTATAGTAGCAGTGAATAAAATGTTAAAACTTGCCTCCACAAACATTCTTTGAACATTTTTGTAGTTTAGTAAGTCTCCAGGCAGAATGACATAAACTTTTAATGTACGGAATCAGATAGTTTGTACGCGGCCATTTTCATTTTTTTCCCCATGGCAACTAATCCGTTAATGTCTAAAACACTATACAAAAATAATCCTGCTTACTCTCTAAAAGCCAAGAAAAACATTGCCTACTCTATTTGTGACACTATGGTGGCATGCAACTAGATTAATAAATAGATACAAGAGTGTTATTTCAATATATTGTACTGCACAAATAATGATCTAAACACTATGAAAAGCATTCGTTTGCGTCTGGGTTTCTGACCATTTGAAAAAATTTAAAGAGAGGCATTATTTCAGTAAATGTTCTGTACACAAAAATACATTGCTATGATGCATTAAATATCAACACAAGATACAATCCACAGACCCTCAAAATGAGCTCTTCTAATAAAAGCACAGGGCTCATTAAAAATTTATCTCAGAAGAAGCCTTAGATATTACATACCAAGATCCTTGACTTTCGGAAGTACATTGTGTGTGAAGTTTTTATATGAAGCTATTTTCCCTTCAGGGGAAGCAATTCCCACATGAGATTCATAGATCCTTAAGCTTTTCGGCTTCTTAGGAATAGGATGTCTCCTCTATACAAACGGGAAAACAGTTTGAGAATAAAAATGTGAGAAGCCACCCATTATATTATTCAAGAAGTAGTAATCTGTGTTAAAATCTGAAAAAGCATATGCAGTTTAAAATAATATAACCATTATATTTAAAAAATCACATCAATTTTTTTATTGGAAAGGAATCTGCCTCCAATCTTGATTTGGCTTTTACAGCTTCTCTTCAAAACATTTTGTTTTGGACAAGGTAGCCCTCTGCAGCCAGACAGCACAGCAATGACCATTCAGCAGCAATGACCAGAAATTCAGCAGCAATGACCAGATATTCAGCTAGATGTATATGTTCATTTTGTCCAATGACTGTCACATAAAACCAGAGGAGTGTTTTCTCTTTATACCGCTGCTGTTCAATTAAACCAGTGTTTCTCAAAAATCTCTCCCCACAGAAAATCTGTTTCCATGTTGATCTGACTACCAAGCAACCTTGGTATGCTATGAAGTCTCTGCCATATGATAACATAGGAGAACTAGACAATTCCCTTGAACTTCATCATTAACATGTAGAGAGACACAAACAGCAGAGAAATGCGCAAAAAGTGTTTCCCTATAAACAAGCAAGGGAAGAAAAACTGGTCATTTCTGCCATCGTCAATTTCCTCACTAAAGAAGCATAGCTGCTTTTAGGGAAATGTAGGGATTTGAAGAAGGCTAAAAAATCTGCACATGTTTTGAAGTATGTCAATCCATATTTATCAGTTTCATTAGTGTTGTCTGCAAGGAACATTACCCTCTAAAACTGTTGTACATCCTCCACCCCAAACTTTCTCATCCATGCTTCCGCTCATTAAATCCAAAGGTTATTTTATTGAGCTTATAGAGCAGAAAGAACATCATGAATTACTAACCCATCTCTTGACTGCAGGGAAAAAAATACAATTGTAATGAACTTGGGTAATTCTGTAATGCCTGCCATACAAGTATGGATTACTATAATGTGGAATGTGCTGGAATGTCAAAGCTCACAGAAGCTGTGAGATTACAGAACGATAGACAAAGCACAGAAACTTCTCTAATAAGTTAGTGACTTTTTAGTTACTGGTTTTGAAAGGAGATGGGTGTTTTGCAATACTAGTATGGATACTCTGCTATCTATTGCTATGTCAGTTTTACAAATACTGTACTTTTCTTCTGGTTGACCTATATTGGTTGCACATTCAATCTATAATATAGACACATTAACTAAAATATGTAAGAAGTAACACAAAAATAAGAATTAAGTTTTCCTAGAAGTGAAAAGTGAAGGCGTGAAAGCCTTCGAGGATACATTTCCCTAGAAGCCTAGACTCTAGAAAAACAATGATTAGAGTTCAGTTGCTTTCATGGTTTTTCTATTGTCTACGAGGCAATGTTTTCCTTTTCCTTCCCATGCACCCACAGTGCTGTCCACAAACTGTCTCTCTCTCCTCCCCACGTACCCATGGTGTGTCCACAAACTGTCTCTTGAGGGTTCCGATCAAGAGTATAGGGCGCACAAAATACTGTTATGGAAAGGGGAGCTCTCCTTCTCACAATTGTGCTGATGGAAACAGCTTTGAAAAGAAAGGTTACTTACCTGTAACCATGCAGCTTTGAAACCAAATGTTGTTCATTGGCTTTAGGCCAGAAGGGTTCTACTGAGACCCCATATGATTACTTTGAAAATAGAACCATACTCCAAATATTATACAAGCATTATATTTCAACTTGATTTCATTCTAAGGATTATATTAGGCATTAGTCCATTTTTCCACAAATATTTTCCTCCAGAATTTTATGGAGGCAGTCATGGAAGCCCTCAAATGCACCACGTGGGTGACAGAGATATATTTTTGTATCATTTTTAACTGTACACTAAAAGGAACACGTTATCTCCTTCTAATAAGCTATATATTATACCAAACAACTGAGAAAGTCTTTGTAAATATTGAAGAAGAAACTCAATGAAACATGAATAGAATGGTCTTTTTTTAGTCCAACCGAAAACACAGGAAATACAATTTAGAAAGAACTGGCTAACACTAACACTTCATCCCATTTTACATTTCAAACATGTTTAAACTGCTTACTCTATACGGAAGGGGTGGGTCCCAGAACACCCAGTCATAGTTGATATTGGCATCCTCACGAACTACATATCTTGCCCAAGGAGAAATGCGATAAAGAATCTCTCCGTTTTGAGTTTCTATCACAAGCTACAAAAATCAAGAGTGAAAGAAAGAACAAAGTTGTGATTAGTTATTAGTGTTCACATATAGGTGCCACTAAAAGCAACAGTCTCACATTTTATCCCTCCTAATAACATTTTATAGTTCAAAAACAAGTAACAATTGCACCATCATCTTGAATGTTCATTCAGTTTTGACAGACAGCAGCCACTACTGTGGGCTGAGGTAACCGACAACAAACATACACAACATTCATCAAGTGTTTTGTACTATTCATTGTTACTGAAAGAAGGAACCTACAACTGAGTTCAGCTGCATTCATAAATTAATATATTCGTTCAGTAAATTTATTGACTACATTACCATAATCTTGCAGGGTCATATATAACTATCAAACATACTATAAATGCCCTTATCAGCTGAAATATTCAAAGAAAAAAAACCTGATCAAAACAATCCATCACAATGACTGAAATCCTGTTGCTTAATTATGCATGCAGAAGGTAAATGGCATAACATTCAGTCACTTCAAGTTGGCAATTAAGGAGTCCCCAATGGGATTCTCAAGTGTGTGCCAAGCCAGTGGGTACATGTGTTCCAATAAATCCCAAAAGACACTCATTTCTTGCTAGTTAAAAGTGACTGAACTTTATGCCACTTACCTCTTCTATGTGGCAACAGGATTCCAGCAAAACAACAACTACAACAACAAAGAAAGTCTTGGTTATCATATAGCTTTTAAGAGGCAGCCTTAAATACACCACAGTTACACAAGAAGAGCGCTCCAATAGGCGGGAAAAGTTCATTCTGGGTTACCACCAGATACAGATTGTTATACAGCCAAGCAAGCCTTCTTTAATAATCTTAAAGAATCTAAACTGGGGTGAGGCAGGGAACTCCACCAGGTAAGCTTGTCGCAAGCTATATGTTAACAAGACCTAGTTCATTAGCTAACAGACTGCAATGCTGTGCAATGAAAGTATTGTGGTGAATTAAGAAAAATAAATAAACTAGAACAAACAGACAAGATGAGCAAGCATTGATGTAATAACGGTGTATCTCATAGTAGGTAATCTGAGTGAATTAAACTGGCCTGCAGAGAATTTCTAGTGTGATATAGTGGATAGAGTGATGGGATACGATTCTGAGGGAGTGAAACTGGTAAAACCACTCCTTAAATATCACACTTATATTGAAAGCCCTATTAGGTAGGGTCGCTATAAATCAGTTCCGACTTGATGACACATAACACGAATAGTATCACAAGACAGGGAGAAAGGTTCCATTCTATCAATTATCTTCATATCATGTACAATTTTATCAAGACATCTACCATAATAAGATTGTTTTCCTAGCTAATTATTGCCGCTTCACGTCCCATCCATATGAATGTGATGCTTCAATTAATTTATCCTTATTTAGCCATAGGACATCATTTTACATTTACTTAGACTGAACCTCTTTTGTAATCTTTCTGTCCACTGCACAGTTTGGAGAGATCATTTTGGGAATCTGTACCTCTCTGATAATACTTGTTTTAGTTATCTCCTTTCCCCCATCACACACAAACCATTTCATTGTCTAAAGACAGCACAAAAGATGAAGCCCTAAATGAAACATAAAAATTATATTTTATAAGTTATATAATTACATTTTAAGTTACATTTTAAAATGCAATGTAGTTAAATAAGTAGACAACAGCCTCACCTCACTTGCTTATTGGAACATTTCGCAAGACTAAGTCTTGAGAAAAGGCAACATCTTAAGACAAATACAATTAGAATAACAGAATCATAATATAATTGAATTGGAAGCAGCCTAGAAGGCCAGTGAGTCCAAACCCCTGTTCTGTGCAGGGGATCTAAATCAAAGGAGATATGAAAGATGGTGATCAATTTTTTTCTTGAATGCTTCCAATGTTGGATTGTTCACCATCTCCAGAGATACAGTGGGGTCTTGACTTGAGAACTTAATCCGTATTGAACGGCGGTTCTCAAGTCAAAAAGTCTGTAAGTCAAGTCTCCATTGACCTACAGTGTATTGAAAACCGATTAATCCCGTAACAGGCCATTTTTGTTCCATTTTTTCTGGTCTGTAAGTCAAATCTCAGTCTGCAAGTCAAACCTAAATTTTGCGGCCAGAGACGTCTGTAACTCAAAAAGTCTGTAAGTCAAGCCGTCTGTAAGTCAAGGGTCCACTGTAATTAGTTCCATTGTCATAATGCTCTAATACATAGTTAGGAAGTTTTTCCTGATATTCAGCCAAAATCTGGCTTCCTTTAATTTGAAGCCATTATTACGTGCATTATTGCACTTTGTGATGCCCCTCCTCTATATGACAATTTGAAAAGGGCTATCATATCTCCCCATATACCGTGTTTCCCCGATAAGATCTATCCCGAAAATAAGCCCTCCCCTTACTGTGTAACATTCCTCTAAAATAAGCCCTCCCCGAAAATAAGCCCTATTGAGATTGATTTTCGTGCCACGCCGTCCCATTACCGGGCAGCGAAAGGAGGGCAGGCAGGCGAGGGCAGGCGGGGCGGCGGCGGGCGCGGGCTCAGCAAGAAAGGCGCGCCTGGGCGAGAGAAAGCGCGGACCGCCGGGTCTTTTTGGGAAGAAGCTTGTAACTACTAAAACTGAAAGTGTAACATAATATAAGGAATCCAATGCTTCTTCATATTTATTGCTCATTTTCTGCTTCTCTCTCTCTCTCATACACATACCCCTGTATAATTTGGGAATATTCTGTTCCTACACCTAAAAGACAGAGGAAACCTGCAATATAGATTCCTATCTCATCTAGGACTGAAAATTTTTTAAAATGGGCAAAAATCTTTTTTTTTTCATTAGGAACTATTAGGTACTCCACAGTGAGTGCAGAAAAACTGTTCTCCCCATCTGGTGCCCTCCAGATATAACAGACTAGAACTTCCATCGCCTATGACAAGAGAGTGATCCGATGTTTATAAAAGCAAACCTATAAAAAGGTGTACATTTAGGTATAAAATGTTCCATGCAACATATTTCTGCTTGTGAATTGGATGGCTTTCCAAAAGTGCATCTAAATACTATGTTATGTGCCTCTGCCTTAACATGTAGTATACAGTATTTGCTCAGCAAACCAACAAAGTAGTTTCTCCTTCCTGTTTGTATTCTGTGCTTCAGGCAAAATTTACCTCTTTAAATTCACTGCACAATTTCAGACATCATTCACAATTTGCTACAGTGTCACTATAGTGTATGTCTTGAAATGAAAGGGAAAAACACACACAGTGGAATAACATTTATCAAGAAGGATTTGTTTTGAAAAGTTAAGTAGGTTCAGTTTCCATCATGAACCTTCGTGCCTTCGTGAACTGTACTGGCAGCAAAGTCCCCTACTAAAATAGTAAGTAAGAAAAAAAGTTATCACAATGAATGGACGTCATTTTCTTGCGTCATTGCAAAAGCTCACTGATTAGGCAGCAGGCATTTTTTCTTTTTCTCAAGGCAAAACATACCCAGCTCTTTAAGTCTTTCCTCATAGGGTTTGGTGTTCAGTCCCCAGATCATCCTTGTTGCCATCATATGAACCTGTTTATTTATTTATTTATTTATTTATTTATTGGACTTCTATACCGCCCCATAGCGCTACAAGCACTCTCTGGGTGGTTTACAATTTTTAATTATACAGGCTACACATTGTGCCCCCAGCAAGCTGGTACTCATTTTACCAACCTCGGAAGGATGGAAGGCTGAGTCAACCTTGAGCCGGCTATCTGGGATTTGAACCCCAGGTCGTGAGCACAGTTTTAGCTTGCAGTACAGCGTTTTAACCTCTGCGCCACGAGGCTCAAACTGTTCCAGTTTGTTGCCATCCTTATTGAAGTGTGGTGCCCAGAACTAGACACAGTACTCAAGATGAGGTCTAACCAGTGCTGAATAGAGAGGAACCAGTACTTCACAGGATCTGAAGAGTATAGTTCTGCTAATGCAGCCTAAAATAGCATTGGCCTTTTTTGCAGTTACACTGCATTATTGGCTCATATTCACCCAATTTTGTATCTTCTGCCAATTTGATAAGTATTCCTTGCACTCCCTCATTCAAGACATTAACAAAAATAATGAATAACACCCGGCCCAGCAGCCTTAAGGGACTCCAGTTGTCACCTCCCTCCCAGTTTCAGATGGAGCAATTGATAAGCACTCTCTGAGCATGATTCTGTAACCAACTGTATATCCACCTGACACTTGGGCTATCCGGCCCACACCTAGTTAGCTGGCTAATCAGAATATCATGGGGCAATTTATGAAGGGCTTTGCTGAAGCCAAGATATATTACATGTACAGCATTCCCACAGCCTACCAGGGAAATCACCCAAACAAAACGGTTGCATTTCTCATCTATTCAAGTATTATTATCTGATTACTAGTCTATTCATGTATTCAATTATAGGTGGAAGAAACCCCTGCCTATACAGGAATCTTCTTATAAGGAAGAAAGCTCATTTTGCAAACCAGATGATTTGGTAGTGTTGCCAAGTATTGGGACATTTGACTTTGACAAACCCAAATCTGAAGCTTTACACTTTTCTTGTTTTCCCTTGCTGCTTGACAGTTCCTATTATGCTGAACAGCTGGTATACTGTAGTATCTGCATCCTACATATTTTGCACAAGTCCTGCCTAGATCAAGAAGTACAAATAATATACAGCATTTTCTTTCCTGGAAAAAAGCCCCAAACCACTAGACTATGTCAACAGTCTGTTATTCCTCTGCTTGTTTAAAAAAAATTAATTCATAACACCAAATCTCCCTAAGGAGCATAGGTCCTTTTAATTCATAACACCCAAATCTCCCTAAGGAGCATAGGTCCTTCAGACAGGGGTTTCGCAGGCCAGAGACCTACCACCTTACACTGGGGCAAGTCCTCAACCTCCAGCAGTGCGTAGCATTTGCGCCTGGATCAAGCCTGACCTTAAAAGAACACTTTATTTTTACTCAGTACTTTGCAAGTACAGCAACATGGACTTTGTGATTCCCTAG